TAATCACTGGAATCCATATCGAGCTAATACCAATCCATTGGTCGGATGTAACAATAAATGAAAATCGCATCAAGAAACTAGATCATCTAGACGAAACGATCATAATCACGACTGATCGCAACCAATTCCATGATGAATTGGACAATCACCCAACAAAAGCGCACCTGTGATCGTTCCTCAAAGATTTTCGGGCAGAATCTGCATCCGAATCCCTTTCCCTCCTCGCCGTTCATCGACTCGTCCAGACCATACGCCCCACCACCATCAATGCCACCGTCGAAATTCGATACATCCGAACTACTCGGTGAATTTCCTCCACTTTCTGGTTCATTTCCATCCTTAAAATTACCAAATTAGCCAAGAATGAATCAGCTAGTTCGATAAATCGCTCACGCAAAGAGATTTGCTATGTGCTTAGACGTGACTGTCCACAAAAATCGCTTGGTAAACATCTCAAAATGCAATATTTTTGGGCTGATCATCGGATTGAATTGATCATTGCTGATGAAATAAACAATCAAATTGGCCAACTAACATGGTCCATGTTATCGTCTTTGCTCTCGTCGGGCAACGACTGTTTCTCATCGTCGCTTTGTTGCTGCTTCTGTTGTAGTTGTTGGGTGAGCAGTGCCTCAGGTAANGATGTTCCATTGCGATTGTCCTTATCATTACTAGTAGTGCTATTATTGCTGTTATTATCGCCACTAGTGTTCACTCCTGCATGTGCTGCATCCATATGTGTCTCGAGTTCGTCGAGAGTTGTATAAGAATTCGGACATTCATTGCACACATAACAACACTGATCGTCCATTTTGATCTGATCCGATAAAACGCGATAAGATGATATCTGCTATCAGTGGCGCTGATAAGACGTGAACGCTGCTATTTGATAGAGACAGTCAGTGAATACCAATTCTGTTCAATAGAGCGTCACTGATTCTTTTCTGAAAATTCCACGAGTTAATCTTTCACGTCACCTCATTTATCAGGATTTCGAAAATTTCTTCGAAGATAGTAATTTGAAATTTCGAGGCGACGACGGATGATCATTGTGAAGCAATCAGAATCTTTACAGTAACAATAAATCTTCTCAAATATCCATGTCAAGCAAAGATACGAAATAATCATTTAGATTCTATAGCATATTCAAAACGGTTCAGCACAATCATACCTAACAAAGTTTGAAGTCGTTTGAGCATTCAACAAAAAGAAGACCGTTGCTCTTTTGAACTGTTTGAAATACAATATGTAGGCATGTAAAATTCATAAACGATTTGAAGNGTACTGCAAAAAAAATCCGAAAACCTCAAAATTCAATGAAAAATAACTTTGTTCACGGATGTCAAATTCAGTTTTCAAAAAAAAAACCGTTAGAAGTTCAATTCATAAAACGTTGATAAACAAAAGGTATGCTTCAATTTTGATGGCTCAAAAGATGAACCGCTAAAAGTACGTTCAAAAACATGTAATTTCTCAAGAGAAATCTCAAAAAAGTCACCGTTTCCTATTATTGATGTTAAGCTCTTCGTCGATGCTCTCTTGTCAATTCTCATTCAAATATTTCTTTCCTATCGTTTCTCCCCATCGCTTTGTCCCATTTTACTAATCTCCAAAAAACTAATTCCCATTCAGTTCTTCACATCGAAGTCCAACAATTCAATGATAACAAGTACGCTACCATAATGACTCCGCAAAACACGCAGTTCAATATTGCATGAAAGTCTTTATATTTTATGCAATGAAACTTGTGAACTGAATCCTGACTGAATAAATTTGCATACTACCATTCATTTAAAGCGATACTTCATCTTACGATCACGACTACATTTAACGCTAAAGCATAACTGTACATCTAAAACTGAACATCTTCATATGCAAATGCCCATATCCACTCAAGCAATAATCTCAATTGCTATTTCTATTGATAATTCGCAAGTTCAACCGGTCTCCTAGTCCTTTAATTGAAATGCAATGAATATCACATTCGTCCTTCCATAAGTATCACTTATGATAACACTTATCGATCTCTTGACGTCGAAAAGAGTGATAAAAGAGTTGTGAATACTAAAGTCAGTTCATCTAGTGATCAAGTCAAATATTATATCAATTCATTGTTGATAAGAAGAACACTACTAATATTCTCACAATTACATAGTAATAATTCATTCCTTCTTGATTATCATAATCAAATATTTCTGAACCGACTA